CAGCGGCCTTGAACGGAATGAAAACATTACATTTCTTTTTTGGAGCTATTTGATGACGTCAAAAAATACCATACCCGTTTTAATGGTCAAAATCGAGACAATTACTCACAAAAATGTTTCTCTTTAAGCATTACAAATAAATACTTTTAAATATTTAAATGACATTGTTTTTTCAAACAAATTAATATTATTTGCTTACTTAAACGTCATATACAATGCTGAGATCACTACGGGGCCGTCATAGAGTGTAGCTGCACTGGCAACCTTTAGGCTAGACTCCAGGGGTCATTATACCAGAACAACATGATTCTACCAGCCAGTAGTTCATTTTTCTACTAGATTGGTGCTACGCTCAGCATTTAGGTGCCAGATTCAGAGAAAAGAGTAAGGCGTACCGATGAATAGGTGCCAGAAACAGCTAATTAAGGTCATTTTCCATGATTGGTGCTGGTATCCACCAAATAGGTGCTGAGGACCAATTTTGGGGCGAGTCAGCTTTTAGATGCCAGAAATAGCTTTTCTGGGACGCAATTAAATGGCGTCCGTTGTTTTTTGCTTTCTGAGGTAGGATATCAATGACAACTGACATTGAAGTGTATGTACAAATTCAGAGTTTTGGTGTAAGTTCAACTAGAGGAAAACGCCCATACAGCTTAGATAGACGCCTAATACAGTTAGCAATGGCCAATGGCATTATCCCGGACAAGCAAACGGGGTAAAAAGTGACAGCAATACCTCCACGTAATCCCAGAGATAGGTGTGCTACCTAGCTGGCAATTTGTCCTGCTCTGCGTCAGGCCACGTCTGAATTAAATGAACTAGCATCATATTCAAATTTCAATCATTGGCATCTCAAGCTCCCGGAATTCATCGCTATTTTGTCTTCTACCAAAATTAGAAGCCCAATGCGGATGCAGTAGGCCTTATTGCATATTCAATGTCATCGCGCTACCTACGCCACTGACTGGTGTGTTAGCGATTACTTGTGGCGTCATCGGCAGAAATACGAAAATAAGTCTTTAGGTCAAGGTGTGGATCACTGTAATGCTTTTAATTAGGCAGAGAGCAAAGGGAAACTGTTCTTCCAGCAACCAAAAGCTAGCGCTCGATTAAAACTCTCCCTCATCAAACTCCTCTCTATTTTCTCCCTGGCTTTCAGCAAACTTCTTTGTTGTGTGCCGGGTCGCCCCCATCACACGCCCCACAATACACCCACGGGACTCTCTGTCGCTGCCCGTTACCTCGCTGTCCCTGCTTCATGTTGACAGTTGCTTGTTTACCTTACCGGTCCGGAGTCGTCTACTGCGACTAATTACTGTGCTCTTTGCCCCGGGGCAGTGCGGGGGCTGAAACTGGCCTCCATGGGGGAGTGGAGGGGATGCAGGGGGGGGGGGGGATGACGGTGGCTTGGACTTTGGAGGAGGCGGTCCGAAGGCGGGGATGGGATGGCAATGGGAAGGGGAAACGAGCTGGAGGCGGGGACATAGCGAGGGCGTCAGCGAGAGGCGGGGATAAGGCGGGAGGGGAGTGGTGGTAAGAGGGAACCAGAGGCGGGGCAGGCCAGGAGCGGTATCAGGGGAATATAGAGGAGAGAGGGAGGTCGAGCAAAGTGGAGCGAGACAGAAGGGGAGAGGGAGAAGGCGGCTCAGAGAAAGAGGAAGGGAGCAACTCCGAGAGAGAGAGAGAGAGAGAGAGAGAGAGAGAGAGAGAGAGAGAGAGAGAGAGAGAGAGAGCAAGAGTGAGACACATACAGACAGACAGACAGACAGACATGAAGAGAGAGAAATGGAGGCAGGGAGGGGAGAGAAAGCAGCTCAGAGAAAGAGGTGGAATGAGGGAGGGAGAAGAGAGAGAGAGAGAGAGAGAGAGAGAGAGAGAGAGAGAGAGAGAGAGAGAGAGAGAGAGAGAGAGAGAGAGAGAGAGAGAGACGAGGGGGTCCCGGAATGTCGATGTCTGGACGCGACGGAAGCGCGGAGGGTGGCTGCCTTCCCTGCAGCCTCTGTTTATCAGATCAAGTTACCTGCAGCATCACTGAACTTCTCTCATAAGCAGCGCATCGACAGGGTGGTCTCACGACACGATGAATCTGCTCTAAATTTAGATCGATGGGTAGTGGAAGGGGAGTGTATCGTAAGTCTTCAGCACAAGTTTTTATTTACAAAACAGATATCTAGAAAAATCCTGTCGTTAAGGTGCATTGCTGTGCGTCCTATTTCACTGCGCAGTTTTGTTACGTTACCAGGAACTAAATATGGATAAATGCTGAGTTCCGAAAGGCTTCAAAGTATATAAAACGCTTGAAAATGGAGCCGCTTCTGAAAACCATAAACGTTATGCAAATCCCTTCAGTGACAATGTGGCAAATAACCCTGACAGTGTATTGCAAATTGCAAACCCAATATTAACTTCAACATGACCTTGTTTAGCTGATAATGTTCAGGCAATACTGGTGCGTGGTAACTGCTAAACGATAGCCGGGTTCAAAAACAGGCATTGGCGGAGCATCAGAGTAGCTAAAAAAGGAGATGAAGATATGAAGATTTGGAAGGGGACAGCCCGAAATCACGTTATTTCATAAAGCATAGTGAAAGGTGGCGGAGCGTGAACACGGATGTAATTAAAACTTTCACCAGGAAAGTTACGGAGACGTCTTTTTACTTACAAAGGCAGCGATTTAATTGTTAATGGCGTGATATGTGGTGTTATATAATACTGAACGAGGCCGGTGTAAATAAATTTTCAAGACCGAGGTCCTTACTGGATTTTTGAACGAGGCCGAAGGCCGAGTTCAAAAATCAGTAAGGACTGAGGTCTTGAAAATTTATCACCGGCCGAGTTTGGTATGCATTTTACTGTATGCCAACGATAAATTTATTTTCTGGACCGAAGCTCTTAGCCGACTTAGGAACGAGACCATCCCAAAATGTTGGCTTTAGTGTATTCTGGTAATGCATTTTTGACCGTGGTCAATTTGCTTACACCAGTTATTACCACACCCCTCTGGCTAATGTATTTGAATAGGCCAGGCATACAGTAAAGAATATTACAATCCGTAGCAGCAAACTGATCATTTTAGATCTAATCCTGGAATTGTCGTTCCTCTTTCATAATGATCGGCAATTGCGTGGGCGAACTTTATGCAGCCTGATAGGATAAATCAATCTTAATGTGCCCTACGTTTCGCTCTCCGGTTTAAGTGGCCTAATAAATGACAATTCGACGTTGTCGGTGATACTTAACTCTGACGTCTAATTTGTGATCGCTTTAAGGGCATGAATGATAACAAAGAAAGTCACTAGCCGTTTTCACGACGGGCTATCCGGCGAATGCACCTGATTTGACCAAATCTGCACCTAATTTCTTTTACAGCAAATATCTTCATTTTATTAATTTATTTCATTGTTTTAACCGATGATGCTCTCTGACATAGATAACATGAACTACCTGTTATCTATGTCTCTGATAATATGACAAACCAGGCATATAAGCAATTAGTGCAACCCTAGCTGATAGCTGCTGAGAGACACACTGAACCTGATTTGACCAAATCTGCACCTAATCTGTACCAGATGTGCACCAATTGTGTACCAGATGGCCGTCGTGAAAACGGCTATTATAAATTTAAGATGTATTCATACATGCGTTATGCGTAACATTTGTTCACATTTCCATTTTATCTGAGTTAGAGTTGCAAAATTTCCCTACCGCACTACCGGCATGCCGGTAATTTTTCACTACCGCAGGCTTTTTCGTGGTATCTGGCATGTCTTGCCGGTAGCATGCCGGTATTTTTGATTTTGCACAAAAAAAATATCAGCATATGATTCAAACTTTGGACACTAAGAGGCTATTGAATTGTAATAAGTTGGACAATAGGTGGCTGCTGGGTGGGGTGGTTACTGAAATTGCAAAAATGTGGCATCTCATGTAGGGGTAAGCCAGAATCAAGAATGCAGGTTTTTTAGTATGCCGGTAATTTGGCGGTTTTTTTGCTTGGGGCGTGGTAGCATGCCGGTATCCCAGAAAATGTTTGTGGGGCCGGTAGCAGCCCATTGGGAAAACTTTGCAACTCTAATCTGAGTCTATGTCTTACGTAGACGATATAATTATAATTCCAATCACCATGAATTTTTATTGTCAATGCTGAAGGTCTTCTAAAATGCCAGCTTATTGCTTTGTAGGCTAAAACGCGTGTTGCGTATATTAAAAAAAAAATTAGTCCGAACCTTTTGAATGGAGGGATTCACACAGAACCCCCGCTAAGCGAAGCTTGTTGCGTTGGCCCTGCCCTCTACCCTCCTCATTTTCTTTCAAAACGTCGGCTTTGCTCTGAATTCCTGATCTATCATTTGCATCTCATAACAATTCGCTGTCTCACCATGTGTTAGTTGTCGCCAGGGAGAGGACCTGACCGACATTCTCTTTCCGGCGCGAGTAGCTTAGCCGACAACCGCGAGTATCGGAACCCAATTAGCGAACGCGAGTTCGAAACCGAACCGAATCTTAGCAACACGCATTCTTTAACTTTATAACAGTGATAGCGCGGCCCCATTGATTGCATTACGCAGACTGAAGTACGGACAACAGAGGAGTTTTATTTTCTTGTTTACATTTTTCCCGACCTCAATGAAACTTCTACTACTTTGGAACCGCACTAAGGAAGGTTCTTACATACCCCAGGATAGCAATAAAATGAAATCAATCAAGGAAAACTCCATATATTGCGAAAAAAACAAGACAATCGGGCCGGTAGCCTGTGACTGAGTTGGTGACGGTACCGTTTAAGCACATGTCTCTCACCGTTTAACTTACGGCTTTGCCTTCTGTGAGCACATGAATCTCACCTTTGACGTGAGCTGTTGTTGCTCAGTTCTTACAGTGAGCAGATGACTTTCATGTGAGCTGCTGGTTCTCAACGTTGAATCTATGTTTCTAGCCTGTAAGCATAAGGTTCTCACCTGTGACCTGATGTTTCTCACCGGTCAACTCATGGTTCTCACCTGTGAGCTGGTGGTAAGAGCGCACCACCGGTGAGCTGTTGACCTCGCAGACGTACATTCCTGTATCGCTGACAGAGGCGTTCTGAATGGCCAGAACGAACACATCACCACCTGGAGACATATCGCATAAATCGTCAGATATATGCAGATGTTTCATAAAAATCGTCAGATCTAGAGACATATTCTAAACCGACAAGATCATGACCCTAGAATAACATTATACGATTTTCTCTATGCTTTTGTGAGAGCTTCTGCTCGCAGTTAAAAAAGTTCGGGTTACGGTTGTACGTTCAGATGCATCACTTCTGTTCTCTCCCGGCCATGTGTGTTAGTGCTATGATTAGATGGTTAAAATGTATAATGATATGACAAGAATCATTTTCAAGGACTTTGTTACACGTAATACCAGATCCTGGTTTTTATTAGACATGACCAACACATAAGCAAGAAGAAACACCACGTCTACCATATTGGTTGCATGTCTTGGGAAATACGAATCTATTGCCTCGCAGCTTAATAGAAACTACCCGGCTCGGAATGAGAGGAAGCGAATCATATATCACATTCATCGCAGGTAGGTATATCACAGGTAGCATAGCTGACAGTAAAGTATAGATTGCCCAGCCCCAGCTATGCACTATTGGAAGGAGCCGAGTGTGTGCTTTGTGCAGCAGTGTGCCCACAGAAGCAATTGTAAGACATGTAGGTACATATCATAGTCTGTACGATGTTTCTGAGACTTCGTTGATAAGCAACCTTTTACAGAAACACATTCTGGTAGATACAGTAATGATATCAGTCATTTTGTTCTCAAATCAAGTAACGGGTGTCAAGTTCAAAATGGGACAAACGCAAAATTAAGGTAGACACTGTGTATTATAAGATATTTTAACGAAACTTTCACCACATACACCTTGTTCTGTCGCCAGTCCACTGGTACTAGTGAATCTGAACCAGGGGTCCATGCCTGTCTGCCAGACGCACGTGCTCTCCCGCTATCTTCATCATCGATCGCGGCACCTCCGGGACAATTTTCTTGATGCTGCTCAGGATTCTGGCACGCAGCTGCTGATCAGATGACGCTGTCCAGCCACCGCGGTAGACTTTTTGTTTAAGTATGCCCAAGAAGTCCTCAATTGGTCCCAGCTGCGGGACATTCGGCGGGTTTTCCTCGCGGATTAAATACCAGGTAGGTATGCCAGCTTCCTCCAGAAACTGGCACGTGGCACGTGCATAATGAGCTGAAGCCAAGTCTGGCCAAAATGCCTATCCACCCTTTCGGTAGCTGGCCTCGATGAACGGTTTGAGGTTGCTGTTCAGGCACTTTGTGATGTAGACATGGGCGCTAACATTTGTTGAACTGGGGCCAATTGTTGGTTTTGGTACTCCCTTGGGTGATATGGCTATCCACACAAGAAACGTACGTGGGAACTTCCTTATCGGACGGTACGTCACATTCGAAGGTGTGTCTCCACCAGGCCCAGCGTAAAAACCACGGTTTTGTGGCATTTCTGAGCCAGTGTAGGTGAAGTAGCTTTCAACGTCCATGATGACATCTTGCTCTCGAGTGGCACTCCAGTTTTCCCCGGCAGGGGTCGCAGGCGGCCCTTTTGAGATTGTTCTCGCTGAGCAGATACCTGAGGAGCTTTCTGGCGCATCCTATATCTTACCCCTTCCTCTCTGAGAATTTGTCTCACTCTGCCATGCGTTATGCCAAAGCTGCGGCCTAAGAGACGAGGTGAGACGCCGACTTTGCCGTCTGCCATGCGAACAAGGTCTTGGCGACTCTTTGCGGACATTTTGGGAGCAGGCCTGCCATTCTGAGCTCGTCTTATGTGTCCTTTGTCTAGGAATGTATTGATAACGCGATATATCAGTCGATCGTGGAATACCAAGCGATTTAACCTGGCGGAAAACGTGAGCCTTAGTCAAGTTCGAGTTTTGTCAACTACTCTCGCGACAGTGTCTCTTGCGGCTTGCTTGCTCAAAGGCTCCATGACGACTGACCTCAATACGTAGCCACAATATTTTAACATCATGCTCGTGCAATTCACGTATGGACATTCTGTCCAAATTTCAGGTGAATATCTAAAGGGAGGTTGAAAATAGAGCGATTTCAATTTTGTCTCATTTTGGACTTGACACCCGTTAGTCCTAAATAAAGCGCTACAAGGAAGAAAATATACAATAATTAGTTCACAGCCAATGGGCATGCAGAGTGAAAGAGCCGTCACCAGAAAAGCATACTGAAAAAGCAAATCAACGTTTCTCAAAACCTCTACAAGCCTTCACACCATTACCAATTTGCGTGCCAAAACTAAATGAAAGAATCCCAGTGGCTATGCCATGCACATGAACAGCGACCTCTCTTTCATGTGATTCCAGCTAAATTATGGTGTTTCCACCTAACCCTTGAAGAGAACCTCTCTGAGAAACCACCACCAAGTCGTGAAAATTAACGCGTCACCAAAGGATATATTTCTGCAGTTTTTATTTACACAGATCTGGCGACAAACTTACCGTGTAGTGAATCGGAGCCTTTCCTCCGGGCTAGAAATGAAGCACAACTGTTGTAAGTGCGTGCTCATCTGGCTAATAATCAGCAAACACAAGCGCCTTACTCTAGGCCCTAGGGTTATGGCATATGCCTCATAAAGCGCATTAATACAGATGCAAAGCAAATGTAAAAAATAGCAAAAAACACGTAAAATAATGTTTGATTGGTTAAAGTGCAAGCCTCAACGGTGCATGCAAACCCAGATTTGCTACCATGCTCACCCCAAATGTTAAATTCTCTCTGAGAAAAACGATGGTAGTGAGCTGTTGGAAGCGTTTGACGCAGCGGAACAAAACGTGAATCAGCAAACTGCGCCGGCATTTGAAGCAATTAGCGCCTACACGACATAACATGAGCTCATGCATTCAAAACTCCGAACAACGTCAAACAGTGGCAACCAAATGTCAAACATGCCTATTTCTTTTATATGTATATAATATTGACCTTACTTTAAGCCTTCACACGCACTCAACATCCTCAACTAGAATCGTCCACTAAGAAGATGTTCAAACAACCTCTCCATCAACCTCACCCCACGCTCACCGATATCATGCAGCACCATGACCCTCGAGTCATTGGTGACGCGGTACGCTCCCGCCGTCAGGATCATTGTCTTCTCTTCGCCATCATGGTCCTCCACTTTCTTCCAGAGCAAGGTGTGGTTGCCCAAGTCGTTGACCACACAGGTGAGAAGGGCGTCACGGCCGGAGGTGACCGTGATCGGCTTCCGAACGCTCATTGAGAGGTCGGGCAGCGGCGACTCTGTGGGAAGGAGGTTAGAGGTTAGGTCAGAGGTCAGGTCACAGGTTAGGTCAGAGGTCAGGTCAGAGGTCAGGTCACAGGTTAGGTCAGAGGTCAGGTCAGAGGTCAGACATGCAGCACGTCACTGGCCATGATACAGGGAAGATCACAAGCTAGGTCACAGGACAGAAAGCGAGGGTACACTTACAGGCTAGGCCACAGTTTAGGTTTCAAAGCAGGTGTAAGGTCAGATCACAGGTCAGGGTACATGACAAATAACTGGTCAAGTCACGGGTCAGGATACAAGCCTGGGCACAGGGCAGGTCACACTTAGGGACGGGTCATCCACCAAAACACAGGTCAGGTCACAGGTCAGGTCACATGGCAGATGGCAGATCATGGGTCATGTCAAGGAGCAGGGAACGGCTCAGGTCAAATTTCAAGTCATTTCACAAGTCATGTCACAGTCGGTATACATACTCAGTGGTCCAGGAAGCCTGGTATGTGTAAAATTCTTACTCTTTCACCACAGGCTAATGCTGAATATACGAGTATTATAAATTAAACAAATAATACAGAATTCAAGTCAAAGTTAGTTGATCTCAGAGTAACGTCAGATAATCTTCAAACAATAGCCGTTGTTCAGCGTTCATGGAAATTAGATTGGGAAGTCCCTCTGCAGTTTCGGTAGAAGCTGTCTGCTGTAAACGTGATTATCTTTGGCGCTAAGACCCGTGTGAGCGCACTATTTTTGGCCTTATCTTGTTATGTAGTCCGATAAAGTGAGCGTTTGATGGTGGAAATGCGAGCGAATAATTTATTACCGCCATTAAACGCCCCATCCCACAAATCAGTATATTGACGATTCAATGGCAAATTCCATAAATGGATCTACGAACTTCTTCAATAACATTTTAGTTAAATATGCTTGGGAAGTTTTGAAAGCGAATTATTCAAAACGGTTAGTCACATACAACACCGTCACTTGGCCAGTAACCAAACCACCCTACCGAACGATATTGAGGGAGAATTGTACATACGTATGTGTGACGCTGAATATTAAAGAATACGGGACCAAAGCTGTAACAAAATGAATGTATTTTCATATGAGATGGCAGATTACTTTAAAGCAGCTCACTAGCACATTACACAGAAAGGTCAGCCATGCTGCAAACGAGGCTGCATTTACCAGTATGGCGGGCCGAGCTGCTAAAGTCGTTCTGGTAATGTTACCTGTGCCTGGCTCATAGAATTGGTACTTGGTGTGAGAAATAAGACCCATTTAATCCGGCCTGCTGCGCCACCCATGACAGAAACTGAGGCTACAGGATGACGTTGAATTAATATAATTTCCAAAATATCGGTATGAATTACAGAGGCTATTGGGATTTGTTTTGTAATAGAAAAACTATCAAAGCTGAAAAACGGATGCTATCGGGACATGTGCACTGTGCAGCGTAAGTAAAATTCGGCTGACTAAAAATTGTCCATGCTATCAGAACAAATGTGTCCTTGTTTCTTCTGCTTTCTGAACCAGCAACCAAGGCACACTAATTACCATTGAAACAAATAATAGGACAGCCAAAGGAAACCCGATTATCTCACACAACATTTCTAGTGGCTCCTGGCTATCCACCAACGAGAGAACGAGGGTCGTGTGTGGTGGACTTTCCCATTGCAAAGGTCAGCGAAGATTGCCTCGAATTAACCCGATTTAGCTCTAATCTGACCAAGGGGAGGGTATCACATTGGAGAACGGCACCACGTAAGTGTCATCTAAAGTCACTGCCAGACACAAAGCTGGGAAAACTAGTGAAATACATTGTGTGCAGGTCTGTATACTGGTCTGTACACTGCCGACTTGATCATTTATTCCACCATGTGCCTCCTCTTTTTTTTTTTGTTCTTTGGTTTGCTCTGATTATAACGTCTTTGCTACCATGAGATCGGAAGGACGCAGGCAGCAAATCTAGCTATAATAATCGTGTTCTCATTATTCTGCGCATGAGCAGCGATGCTGCAGCCCAATCAGGAATTAAAAGCTTCCGCAAATAAATATTCACTGAAAATGTGACGTAAAATTACTCGTCTCATAAATAGATTTCCTTTGTCCCTTAGAGCGTAAATAAACCCAGTTTCCGGTTCTAATTCATTTAAGTCCATCATAATTTAACAACCACCATAGCGTTACAGTGGGAAGTAGAATAGAGAGGGGAGGAGAGAGAGAGAGAGAGAGAGAGAGAGAGAGAGAGAGAGAGAGAGAGAGAGAGAAAGAGAGAGAGAGGAGAGAGGAGAGAGGAATGTCATTCAGTACCGCCCAAAGTGGATTTTAGCAGGGATCTTTCCAAGCATCCATCAGGCTCTTTCCCAATGAAAACATTGGAAACCCTGATCCAATTCTGCACTGGTGAAAGGCGGCCATCCGAGAAAAACAACAGAACTACGAATACATATCGTCTGTGTCACACAAGACATCGAATGTCAAATATGGCTCAGAATTCCAATAATCTAAAAGGCTTGTGGGAGCTTTATGGGAAATGAGCCGAAATGTTTATCAACATCTGCGCTCTGGTTTAACCCTCGCCGGACCTATTGGTTTTCTACATACGCGCCGGCCGAGGGGAGGGGGGCGGGTACGACCCCCCCCTCGCCGTTTCGCCCCTGGTGGAGCTAGCGCGTCGCGGAAAAAACGAGCGTGTGCGCCGTTACGAGACGCAGAGATTGGTACCCGATTTTAAGGTCCTAGGTCAGCCGGTGACCTCTGAGGTCAGGTCAAGTGCCCCAAGGTACGGTTCAGTTTTTGGTGAATAACTTCGCAAAAAATGGCCGCAGAGCCGCGATTTTGGCAGCATCGTGTTCGCCTCGCTCAGGCGCGTCGAATGATATACTTTTTGTTCGGGTCAGGTCAACTTGGGGTGTTGACCTCAGGTCAAGGTCAGGTCAGCACCCTAAGGTCACGAAGTTGGTCAAAAGGGGTCATGTCGCATATCATTCGATTCGGCAGGTCTTCCTGAGTCCATTGGTGGTTTTCCCGACTCGCTAGCTCAATTTGATCAAGAGTTATTGACGAAAAACTAATATGACCTTGATGACGTCATAAATGACGTCACGCAAGGTCAACATTGCAAAAGTGACGCATCTAACCTTGCAAGGAGTGCATCAAATCACGATTCTGTGTGCTTGAGATAGTTGGAGATCGTTCCCGGCGCCAGAATAGCAGTTTGAATTTTTCCCCATTGACTTATAATGGTGAGGTCACGAAAATGACCTGACCTCATATGACCTTTAGGAAAAATCCAAGATATACAAGTTGTGAGACTCATAATGGATACTAGATCCTGCAAGTTTCATTTCCCTGTGACATCTCCTCTGGCAGTGAGGGCGTTGCGAAGTTGCGACATCTGAAGACCGTGCAGAGGTTCACTTATGACGTCATAGGTCAGTGACCTGACCTGACCCAAAAATGCGGTTGGTGTCAAAAGATGCGGCTTGGATCAAAGGTCAGGTATGCCAAGTTTCAGCTCTCTATCGCCAGCGTGTTCGGAGCTATCGCGAAAAAAACCCTATGGGGGGGCGGCACCCGCCCCCCCCCCCCTCGGCCGGCGAGGGTTAACCAGGCTCTTTCGATCATCAATAAAAGCAGATTAATTTACATCCAAGTGCCGAAATATGTAATTGTAACTCGATTTACTTGGTTACATATCTGCCTCAGTGTTCAGGTAAATACCGTGCCAGGGGCGCAACTCCATATTTCTCCCGAGTTTCAAATAACCCTGGTGGTGTGGGTGAATTTGCATAAAATGATGCGGTCACATCTGAACTGCGAGCACGTGAGCACAATGCATGCGCGTATGCATTAAGATGAAGTACCGTCGCACATCGCTCGCTTACACCCACCCAACACGGTAAAACGGTAAAACATTTGCCTTGCGCGGCCTTCTCGTTCTCGTCTAGAGCTATACGGCGACCCTCCTTGATCTCGTTTCCGCTAACATAAACATAAAAACAAACCAGTATCGCCGTCGGTCCAATGGGTACCGCTGCACTCAGGCCGTCTGACCCTACTGGGCCTGAGGGTAAGGTTCACAGACGTGCTTCCGTGAATCCGGTTCAGGGCGGTCAGGGTAGCCGCAATTTTAGGCGTGTAGAAACAACATCTGACAATCGGAGAACGAATGTGTTCTGTGCTTGTAGTGGCTCACCTATGCGTTGCTATATCGAAGAGTTGAGGTCCTATGATGGATAATCAGTAATCAATATGTAGCAATGCCGTGTTTCACTAGTTCATTGTTCATGGGAGGGAAAAATAAAAAACGAGAACCCTTACGTACACTATAATGCTAAGGAAAGTTAGTTTATCATTAATTAAAAACACTGAATAGATACATAACCATCTTCGCAGGGAAGTGGCAAGTCATTAACTGTACAAACTATTAAAAAAACATTCACCGTTTTGCTTTCAACATCATCCCATTCATGAGTGCTTCCGTATTCGCATCGGAAATCATCGAGACTGGCCGACTTTCTCACTACTCAGGCACAAAAAACAGCCTGAAGGCCATCTGTAGAAGTTAAGTCATAAACAAGTCACAGCGCGGTCAACGTTGATGACAGTCCAGATGGACCTGACTGACCTCAGTGACGATCATTTCGACTCGTGTAGGTAAAGGCTGACAGTACCAGGCTGAAGAGCCTCGTAAGAAGGCTTTTAGGAGGCGGTGAGCGAGAACTGAGCCCTGGATAAACCACGCCGAGAGCCGTGTCGGTTTTGGTAGATCTCCAGCGGAGCCAGAGCGAGTGAGAGAAAAGAAAGGAGAAAGCGAAATGGTAAAATGAAACGGACTCTATTTTTACTGCCAGGGTCGAGAGATGCTGCAATAGCACAGTTCTAAAACAAATTTCTTATGGCCTAAAAACGTTGAAACCATTACCTAGCGGAGGGAGACGATGAATAACGCAAGATGTCGGAATATCAGGATTGTAAGTTCTACAATCTACATATCTACAGTACCCTATAAACTGTATCAGAAAACTGTTGGTAAGTAATCAGCAACATTGTTAGTGCTCGCAAACAGCTCAGGTGCAAAAGTTAAGTAGCTTTCTGCATTACAGGCATGCAGCCGCATGGATGGGCAATTCTCAAATGAAATCTCATTACTTCAAATGTCAGGCATGGGATTAAGAGTAACCTGGTAGCGTAAGAGGATTTTCATAGGCATTTGAAACGTAAATAACTAAAATAGGTGTATAAAGCCAGCTGCTGTTAGTAATTTTGGTTGCAAATTGTTTACGCTGAAACAGCTTAATTAAACATTGTAAACCGAACGTCTGCATTAGAGCACTTCATGGGCCGGATAAATCCGTTATGCACGGATAAATCCGCGGACCGGATAGGATTGGATTCTAAATTTGTTAAAAAAGAACGGATATGGGCGGGCCGGATTTGGGAATTGAAGGTTGAACCCGGATCAAAACGGATCAAAATTTTAACATTCAACATTGAAGTTAAAAATTAACCTAATGTGTTAAGCGGCAGGATGATACCTAGCGTTACGGTCCAAACTCCATAGACAAGCGGACATACGGTTTTACAAGAGTTAGGCGACGAAATACTCAACTTAATTATTAAGTAATGGGCACCATTAGGTAGGCCATACAATTTTCTGTAGTACCGCATAGTCGCTGCAGTCAAAGGTGTTCTGGTTTTTATGCTATATGCCAAAGAATTCTTGCATGTAATCACCGGTGACACGACATATTTCTGCTTTATTGGGTTGGGCGGTGAAGTCTATGACGTGATCACAATGAAAATGGCTTAGTTTTGTAGAACATTGAATTCTGATTCCGGCACGACTCTCGCTAGTCCATTTTTTATTATAAATAAACCATTAATTGCGGTACAAAGTCAAAACTAGCCCGAAACGGCGCCCGCAGCGGCCGTTAGCACAGTCCTTTATGGTAACCAGGTTAGTTCACATTCCCGCCGCTATGCGAGCGGCGGCGGCGCCACCTGTCCTCATGTCCGCCTTGGACCGTAACGGTTTACCAATGTGGTGATTTTCATGTGGTTTTAGGTTTATAAGCATGGTTTTTGGAACCATCATGGTCTGTGAGATGTATGGCTGTCTGGTCCCTTAGATTGAATTTGTTAGTCCAGTTTTGGGTGAAACCAGTTATTGGTGAAACGGATTATTACGGATATTTTTTTGGAAGTTTGGCTGCAATACGGGCCATGGGTGGGTCGGATTCTGATATTCAAAGAAAGGCGGATAATGGGCGGATCTGGATATGACTTGCCGGATATGGGCCGGGCCGGATCCTAAAAAGCCTATCCGTGAAGTGCTCTAGTCTGCATACACACCGCACACAATATGTTTACGCAGTGCTTAATCATTTATACAACTAACAACCAACTTCTCCTTCTTCTCCTGACTTCTCCCAGCTGCAGCCATTAATTCTGTCCATCCCGCCCCCGCAGTACGCTGATGTCGGCCCGACCCGGGTCTCCTGGGGGTCGTACCGCGTCAGACATTGTGCTCTATGTGGTCCCAGAATGCTCCCCTGAGGAACACCGCAGGCGTGGCACGTGACGGTGGGGTAGGAGCACGGGTCCGCTGGGATGCTCCGCCGTATCTGTATCAACATCTGTGGCTGGGGTTACTACCTGAGGGAAATACGATTGTGTTAGTGTAAATGTTTGTTTTCTAGGTAGACGCAAAGTTGTTTTTCGGGATGATTTTCAGATATTTTTACATTTTCGATTTATCAACCAGCCATGCGAAGACGAGCAGCGAATTTCGTTCACGTTTACTGCCAGCAATGGTAGAACTTCTTTTATCCCTGACCTCTCATGGACTTCAACCATGTGTACTTCTCTTCCATCATTTTCAGTGGTGATGAAACTATTCAACCCTTCCCCAATTTCGGACCGGGATGTGGACGCTAATTTAGTAGTTTCATATAGTCGAATACATAATTGCTGAGTGGACACTGGATACCCTGGCTGCTGGTGGCTCGGTGCAGCAAATAACATTAGGCATTTCGAGGAACAGGGCATATTGTTGTTTGACAAATAGTTCTTACCTGCTGCCATGGCAACGGCGGCCAACAAGAGAAGGCGGCCGCCCGTCGCCGCCATCTTGAAGACGTATTCTGCAACAGAGAGACAAATGCGTTACATGGGTGCGCCGCAATCATCTACAGTAGGCTTGGCAAATTAACAAACAAAAGCGTATGAAACATGGTGATTGATAAACGTTTCAATTAGCACCTAAGTGAAAAACGTAATCGTCTTCGGGTAAAAGCAAAACGTAAAACACGACCTAAGTGATCAGAAAGCTATCAATGGCATTAGAAGCTCAGTACATTTCTGAAGAACAGACTGCATACTTATTGCTTATTTTCTTTTCAGTATTTTAGTATATCCAAAGAGGAAAGCTTCCATTTCGAATGGCCTTCTTCCCTTTCCCCGGTCACCTCTCCTTGTTTTCTCCCATTTTCCCCGATCCCAGTCCAGTCACGCGCATCCGAAATCCGCGAGCGGACACTGCTATTTCGCACCCTCGACGGCGCCGCGAACAAATCTGTCCTCGGCCGTTTCAATTTCGTCTCGATGGCAGCAAGGGTGTAGAAACGATCGGATTGTCAGCCTCCGCGACAGCCGGTGCCTCCCACTGTGGCTTTCGAGAGACGTTTGCGACGCACTCACGACGCTCACGACGCTCTGGGACGATCGCGACGCAGTGCGACGCACACGACGAGGGCGACATTGCAATATATTTCATCCAAGTGGCGTCGGCGAACCGGCGAGCTCGTTTCGTTGAGGATTTGTTTACAAGCTGCCTCCGCAGCAGACAGGCGGGTCGACAGAGAAAACACTCAGTGACAAACGACAATGACAAACGACACTGACAAACGACAATGTCAGCGGCAGCCAGTAAACGACTGAGGTTGGAACGGGCGTCTTCAGAGAGCCCGATGAGACGAACTCTCAGAAGCGATACGAATTTGTTGGCGAAGCAGGATTGAACGTTGGATTTGGATGTTGGCGGTGACTGGGGTTACTCAGAATCGAGATGAAAAGAATATGTTGACAATTGATATGTTTGAGAAATCCTATTGATAGTTAGCAGGCGTTCTTCTTCTCATGCGCATCGTGAGTTTTTTTTTGCACAAGCATATTACTGATTACATGCACGTACAAACGTGCTTCTTTGTATTTTTCGTATGAAAGTGAAGTATGTGTCAGGCTTCAGGCTCGCAAAAAAACTTCGTACGTTCTTACTGTGCATATTTCGAACAAAATATGTAGACTATGTTGGCTTAGTTGTTTTGAGTTTGAGCCCACCAAGTCTGTTATTCGGACCGTTTAACCTTTTAAATTAATTACGTAATGAAGTACACAAATCAAAATGTTTCAAAGCATGTCCTTTGAACATCTCCCGTTTCTGGAATCTCAAGTTGTGGCCGCACTTCTGTATTTTTTAGCCATATATTTCAAGTTTTTTTACGCCCGCATAGTGCTATCCTCTTGTCATTTTGAACTCGGCCGCACAATGCTGATATAGCTTTACCTCTTATTGCATTTTTGTGATACGTGCTTTTCCTCGATTTATATTGACGTTGCTTTGAAGAACAGGCAATAAACAGCGTGTGATATCGGATGTTGCTAAAAAATGAATGCCCTCTTTCAATTATAGCAGGATCAAAGGTGTAAGTATAATGTCATACCGTAAAGTCATATTTCATATTTCGGTCTGGAATTCCTATTTCGATAGTTCAATTCCTATTTCAATGGTCAATCAATGCGGCGACAAAAGTAGTGTTTTGTGGAAGGATAAAGGAGGTTCATTGGAATGTTTATCTAATTACAACGCGAAGAAAAACTAACTCGAAACACAAGTAAGTACAAATGCGTATTGCATACGGTGTACCCAACAGTTTATTGAATGATAATGCTTGAATGTAAGTCTTCAATAACCGTAAGAACTTTAAACAATAAGTCGCAAATGTCGCAACATTGCAATGCTGCCACATAATAGCGCGTCCCAACAAATCAAACAAAACCCCAACCCTTATTTTGCTAAAATTCAATTCTCTTCAGCCTCACAACACTACCCTCCCCCAACTCCACCCCTCCCCGTGCCGCGCCCATCTTAGTTCCCCATCACCCCTCCCCTCCCTCCTACACCCTCCCCCTCCCCTACCCCTCGAGCGGGAATCAGCTGACTGCAGTCAGTCACGAAACGTTGATCGCCCCCGGGGCATCGAATTCCGATTCTGCCCCGCCCCGGTCAGAAGGGACAGAAAGGCAACGGCTGGCGTCTGGCCGCAACAAATACCCGAACATAGGTACCCATTAGCAAATGGAAAGCCATGATGACAACATAGCAGTACAAACGTGTAAGCCGAAATCTGATTTGATAAAAGCAGTTTGTTTTTATGTTATCTCTCAGCTTAATAACAATAATATACAAACGATTATCACTCAATCATTTTATCTAAGATTAGCATGGTGTGGATGGTATCATGTTTTGTCTTTATGAATGAATGTTAGACGTGTATGTTAGACGTGTATGCAACGCGCGATTGAATGAAACGAGCATTGTTTTTATTTGGAACGACGCAGCGCTTTTATTGACTAACTATTTGTTGTTTGGCTAATTGGGACCGGCGAAAGTGCAATGAAAGCATTTGTCCTTACACGTCACAATAGGCATTCCGCTATCCCTATTTTCCTGTACTTTATGTTGTTTCTCAATTGCCTGGCCGTGCGTGTTATCGATTGTCCCATTTTCCATCGATAAGGGTCAGCTGAATTGCAGTTTATTCCCCTCCAAAAGGAACCGATCCACAAACTGATTGCTGGCCTGGCGGTGTCAGGAACGCGCCTGTCAGTAGCAGGGATTGACTGTTCCTGGCAAAGACAGCTGTTTTCCTGTGGTTGATCAATAGATACAGCTGCACCATTCAGTTGTCGACTAACAAGGAAATGTGTAAGCTCGGTATAAAGCAACAAAATATTAAATCGCCACAAAACACAGCTGTCTTGAACAACTTAGGCCTTACCTTTTTATTGGGACTCATGTTTCGTAGTATTTAATAGTTTGAATCGCAAAAGATTGGCATGGCGCTAGTTTACATAAGTACTCGTATTTGTGTAATTCGGAATGCCTTTCCAAGAGACACACCGATGGCCCATTGCCCTACCATTTTACTGAACAAACATCAAATCAACCAGTTTCTTTGCTTCCACACGTGCATCCTTTACGTCATAAAACCAGCTGCGGCCGCTGATTCGTCGACATTTCGTGACGTCATTCCGGTCACGTCCGAAAATGACAGCGATGAAATCGGTACGGCTCTCAGCCGGGTGACGTGGGGAGAATGTCAAACGGGTTTTGGTCATAGACGAGACGAGAGGGGACGACCGTGTCCGCAACGTAACTGAATTGGTTTGACGATGGTGGGTGAGCTAGGGGTGGATTGGTGGAGGTTATTTGTTTTGCAGTTTGTTATCAATTCACTGTTCACGTCATTTTGCATAAAGGTCGTTATAAGAAAATATTCATACGTAGCACAGTTATTTCACACAAATATCGATTTAGTGCTGCACAAACATTAACAAAAAGCCTAGGACAGAACACAATTTAAGAAAAATCAAGGACAGAAAAAAGGTTATCAGTCTACCACATACGACATGACATTTACGATATAATTATGCACACAAGAAAATAAAGACAACAGAACATGCTACAATCCTGGGCAATCCATGACATATGTTCTCTCTTTTTTCATCTCGTGCGCAAAAGGCTGGAGAGAAGGCAGCACCCTCCAAAGCAGTTGGCGGAGTGTAGTCGTTATTGGTGCTAACGTTAACCAGAGCTGCCTTCCTGGGCTGATTGGTGATTGGGTGATCGGTGATTGGTGATTTGCTGGCCGGCTGATTGCTGAGCTGCTCATTGATGACATCTGATTGTTGATTGGTTGCCTTGTGACCGGTGATTTGTAATCAAGCAATATTCCCGACATTCAAGAGCGGCAAATATGGCAAGAATGGGCACAAGAGCAAACAAGTGAATGGTCAAGTTCACGCTGCTCCAAAGTCCGCGATGAATGAAAGGAAGCAGAAGTGGGTACTTTTGGGTGTTCAGGCCGTTTGCGTTCCATGACAATAATATCATCCGTCAAACAATAACATACCGCAATTTTTCTTCTTTCTAATCAGATGATGGCTAAGTGTAATTTCCTTTTTTCGTACTTGCATGTCTGGATGGTATCCGTTGTCCCACATACGTTATGGCTTGCTCATAGCCATTATCGTCCTTTCTTCCGGTGTATCCTAGCTCCCAGTTCGATCCAAGCATTTCTAGCCGAGTTATGCTGGTATATCAGGAAAAAATGCGCTTTGAAACGGAGTTTTACGAATCACCACAGTAGAGATGAACAGCTGTTGTTCCCGCTACGCCGTTCGCTAAAATTGTCAAGGAAACTGAGGATAGCGTGGGCAGAAACGTCTGCAGGAAGACAATTTATCATTTCGTGCAATTGGAAGCTTTTGTTGTCTTTTGCATTGCTTGTTAATAGAAAACAAGAATACAAGGAAAAGAACAGAATACAAGGTTAAGAGCTCAGCACAAGGTTTACAACCCTCCACTTCAATTCTATCACCTCACAAAAGATCAACTCTGAAGCCATCTTTGTAACTCATTCATTCTCTGTTGCTAACTTGGTACAGATGGGGCAAAACAGCAACATAAACCAGAGGAAAAGAGCTTTTTGATGTCAGATTCGCGAGCGACCTATGTCGGGCTGACAAAGTCGGTCAAGAGTACACTGTGGATTTAATCTATGAGAGGAGAATTGTGAAGTTAGGGAGCGCAAAGTCCATTTACAAACGAACACCCTCTCAAAAAGAGGTAAATACCAATACGTGTTATGACCACGTACGATTAAAAAACGCACGGCGCTGTGGGAACCATGAAACAGCATCAACAATCTGGCATGCTCTAAGTGAATCAAAATTAAGCACACGACCAATTGCCATCATTATTACCAGTAAAACAATAATGGTTGACTATTAAGTAATGGAAGTGCCTTTAGCAATTAAAAGTTTTTGCAGGTGCACACATTATTTTGGTACCATCACGTGC